TGTATATATATGTATAAATATATATATATATGTATATACATATATATATATATATATATATATATATATATATATATATACACACAAGTTTATATACGTATATATATACGTATGTATATTCATATATATAAACTCCTTCATACACATGTTTATATATTCATATATACATATATATATCCACACACACATATATATGTACACAGACTGTAAATGTAAAAGGAGCCATATAAATAAATGAAACCTTGATGGAAAACTACCATAAAGAAATAGAGAGGCAAATGCAGATAGTACAAAGAAAAGCAATAATACGTGTTGTGTGCAATTTCCCTTACAAACAACTATATCTGGATATGACGCACATCTAAAAACAATGCAACAGAACAGATCAACAATCACTCATCAAATGAAAAAAAATTCTTATAGCACCAACATTCACTCATTAAATAAAATTTCCTTATAGCACCAATATTCACTCATTAAATAAAAAATCCTTATAACATCAACATTCACTCATTAAATAAAAATTCCTTATAACATCAACATTCACTCATTTTCATGCAATTTCCCCCAATGACCCAGCGCCTTTCTGTGACCGCATAACACGAGGAGAAAAAAAATCCCAAATGGCCAAAATAATGACAATCAAAATGAAAAACGGTTACCCTGATATGCCCAGAAGATTCGGGGGAAGGCAATGAATGGGCGAACAGATAAGAGCGGCCCTGGTAAACACATGCCACGATTTAAAGAGTGATAACCTGGGTTCCATTAAACGCACATATATATATATCCACTAGTAACTATGGCAGAGATAACCCGAACTAGATGGTTTGTTGGGTTGAGTGTATTACGTTGCAAATACCTCGGTTTACGTCCTAATTGCGGCGTTGTCTGTTCGTTGTCATACATGAAGGGACATAAAACGTGTTCATTGTGGAGGGTTATGGGGGCGTCATCGTCATTATTATATTACTTAATATCATATTTATCCGTAAACTATATTTGCTGACACATACACTCTTACACTTATACATACAATTTCACATATACATACACACATATTGTAAACGCGTTCTACGTATGAACAAAACAAAACAAAAATTAACGGATGCATATATGTATGTACAAATATATTAATGATACCGTTCAACGCTCCTTTCACTCTCCTGAAAGCAATATCTACTTTTCCTGCAATATCTATTTCTCAAAATATAAAAGCACTGCATTTTCCGTTCCCGCGCGTCCATTTCCCGTAGATAGCTTCTCATATTCCACTCGTCCCGATGATGAAATCCTTCAATTTCTCGACATTCAGGAGAACTACGACCGTTCTGCTCTCTCGACAATATTCCTATACGTTGTTCAGATCGATGTATAGACAGCCGTGTAAAGATATAGAACACTGGATTGTCTAGCGTATTTCACGGGCTCTGACAAATGCCGTATCATTGTTTAATACTGCTTGTGTTTGAATAAAAAATATCGACTTTGGGGGGGGGGGAACGGTTCATTCAGTCTTATATATTTTGGGGGAAAATGGATTACGTCTCTGTTTGGCTTCTTTACGTTTACGAGTGTGTGTGCGTGCGTGCGCGCGTGCTTATGTACGTGTGCTTTTGCTCACATACGCACGCGTTTGTGTATGTGCTTGTAAAATACGTGAATGAAGTTTATCGAACACTGTAAACGCACATCATAGCATCACCTCAAAAACCGACGCAAGACCTTCAGCGCAAAACCCGAAGCTCTTCTTCCGTGACAAGGCAATCTCGGCCATCACGACAACCGAAGGAAATAAATAGGCAAAAAAAAAGATCACAGCTGACAACCGATTTGATGATCTGAATTGATCTCATTTTGGGAAAACTGCTACACTCGCCGACTTCTTATACCGGTAATTCTCTTCCGTTTTCTCCTTTTCGCCTCTCTTGATTTCCGTGTTCGCTTTTCTGCTAATGAAAGCGACCATTCCTCCTACTTTCAACTTTAATTGATTTTGGTGTGGGCGGTCTCCTCTAAAAGAAAACTTATATACCGTATGTACGGGTGTGACTATATATGATATATATATATATATATATATATATATATATATATATATATATATATATATATATATATTATACATATATTACATGTGTGTCTATGTGTACATATATATCATGTGTGTGTGAGTTTAAGTGTATAAACATATATACACACATATATATTGTGTCTGTGCATTCGTGCGTGCCTACATCAATATATATATATATATATATATATATATATATATATATATATATATATTGACGGACATATACATACATATATATACATATACAAATCTATCTATATATATATATTAGTTTAAGTTCTGCCCAAATATTGAAAAACATATAAGGATAAGCACACCATGTTATTCGTCCACTGCATTTTGGCCTTTTGAAAATAGCATCCATTTCCGCTATATGAGCTCACATTATTTCATCATTATATTTTAATGCTGAAATGCTATGATGATGGAACGTTCTGATTTTCTATGGAATATTTTTTTTAACGCATAAATCACTCGCATTCAGAAACTGAACCGGTATTTCGCGCTATGATTATTATTACTGTCATTATCCTCATTTTCTTCTTCATTATTGTAATTATCATTATAAGAATCATTATCGTTATCATTGTTATCATTGATATTATTATTATCAATGCCATCAACATTATCATTATTATCAGCATTTATATTATTATTACTATTTTAGTACCATAATCATTATTATCCTCATCATTATCATTATTATCATTGCTGTTTCACTGTTATTGTTTTTGTACTTATTAACATCATCACAAAAATAATTTTTACTATCACTATTATCATTTATATTATTATCGTTACTCTCACTTTATTATTATTATTATTATGATCATTACTACCATTATCATAACCAGCATTATTATTTTCATTATCATTATGATTATTGCCATTATTATTGTCATTATCAACGAATTATAATTATTTATAGTAAAAATCATATAAAGAAACCAAAATAATAATGATAATATTGGAAATTATATAAAAACGAAACACGTATACAATATCATTAATGATCATCATAATAAATAAATACTGATAATACAGATAGTAGTAGTAGCAATATCAGAAGTAGCAGCAGAACCAGCAACAACAATTATAGTAGTTGTAGTAGTACAGCAGTTATAGTAACAGAAGTATCAATAGTAGTAACAGCAGTAAAATAATAAGTAAAAATAATAATGATAGTTGGAGTAAAAACTACAGTAGTAGGAGACGTAGCTGTAGAAGTAGCAGGTTCAACGGCACTAACAGCGACGTCGGCGGCAGTAGACAACAATAGTAGTAGCAATAGTAATAGCAGCAGTAGTAGTAGTTGTAGTAGTAGTAGTAGTAACAATAAGGAAAAAAGCAGGAGCAGCAACAACAGTAGTAGTAGCGGTAGTAGTTGTAGTCGCAGTAGTAGTAATGATGATAACAATGAATTCAAACACTCAGTATGAGCTATTGTATATAATCAATAGTATATAAACACAAATACACACACACATACACATATATAGATGGATAGAAATATAAATTCATATATACACATGTAAATATTTATGCGTTTATATATATAAAATACAAACACACACATAAATCCACATATGTATGCATGCATATAAGTGTATGAATACATAGCTATTTATATGTATTTATGCTTATATGTATACACATATATAAATGCACAAAACATCTACATACATTTTTGTATATATATATTTTTATGTATTCATGTATTATGTATGCATTATATATTATGTATGCTTGTATGTATATACATATATATACATACACATGGTATGTGTATGTATATCTGTATGTGTGCATATATGTACACATGGTGTGTATGTGTATGTGTATATATATATATATATATATATATATATATATATATATATATATATATATATATATATATATATATATGCATACATACATTTATGGTGTATACAGATATACACAAATTATATATATATATATATATATATATATATATATATATATATATATATATATATATACTGCTTATATATATATATATATATATATATATATATATATATATATATATATATATACTGCTTATATATATATATATATATATATATATATATATATATATACATATACTGCTTATATATATATATATATATATATATATATATATATATATATATATATATATATGTATATATATATATATATATATATATATATATATATATATATACACATACATTTATAAAAATAAATATATATATAAATATATTGTATATGTATATATATGTACATACATATATAGTGTATAAATATATATCGTATATATGTATATATATTATATACATATGTGTATATATATAATATATACGTGTATATAAATACATTATATGTATATATATAGACATTGTATGTATATATGTTTATACACACACACACACACACACACACACACACACACACACACACACACACACACACACACACACACACACACACATATAGATAGATAAAGATAGATAAAGATATGTAAACATATATATGTGTGTATGTGTGAAACATTAAGTTTTCGCACAACGGAAACCAATATAACCAGCATTTAATGAATTTGTACAGACAATTGACGCCATCATATGTGTTTAAGAGAATCAACTCAGTGCCAGAGCATTATGTATTCCTCTACTAGTCTGGCCACTTACGGTCACATACTGGCCGAAACTTTTTTCCCTCTATTTTTCAGTCACATGTAGGATATTTACGAAATGAAATCAGAGGAAAATATATATCTACCAAACACACCGATGTTAGTTTTGGATTCCCCGTAAAACTCTTGCTCCTGATATACAGAAGACGTACATAAAGATGAATACACAGGAATGTCAAAGATAAATAAATAAATGTATAAATAAATGATAATAGTAATGAAAAAATCATGCAAACTCAC